AACTTCAGTTTCTATAAAAAGGATAAATAATACTATAAACAGAAGGTACACTACTTTTCTGGATATTTGTTATCTGGGGACTCACTGAGTTTTATCATCTCATACTATCTGTGGTTTAGGGTCAGGTTCAAATAAGGCATAGTAAGGTACTTGATTCTGTGCTTGTGAGAAAATTCTTTAATGTAAAGGACTTCTTTAAATTACATACAGCCTACTAAGAGTTTCTTGCTGTATTCCTGAGTGGACATGCAGTAACTTCACAGTCTGTCTTCTTACTCATAAAACTAACTCCTGGCTAGAAGTGTTTCCTTTCCATACCTCTGAATGTACAGTAGTTTCTTACCTTTTATTCTGTTGTTTTAATTTTAGGAGAAATTAGAGAACAGAATGGCGATAGCCTTGTCCATGCTGCTATTGTAACAGAAGGAGCTGCTGTTGGGAGTGCAGAAGCGAATGCGTTCAGTGTTCTTCAGCATGTTTTAGGTGCTGGACCCCTTATCAAGAGGGGAAGCAATGTTACCAGCAAATTGTGCCAGGGTATTGCTAAAGCAACCACCCAGCCATTTGATGTAAGTTCAAAGGATTACTGTACTCTAATATTTTAAGTAAAATGCATATTATCCTTTGAGAGGTTTCTACCTCTAGCTAGAATCTTCATTAGTTCATTCTTGCACGATTACTTCAGAGAAGGCCTTCCAATCTGATCTTTCGTCTGTACAGATAGCATTTAGCTTCCTGAATTACAGTATTTTAGATCCTAATAGTAATTATTTTCCTATGCTTGATGCTGTGTTGTTCTGATACTTTAAACAGTTGATGATAATGTTTGTTTTGCAGGCTTCTGCATTCAATGTTAATTACTCTGATTCTGGGCTTTTTGGGATTTATACCATATCCCAGGCTCCAACTGCTGCAGAGGTGAGTTGCTGATTAGAATTTAAGTTTTAACAACATAACCCTCAAACTAGTGTTTTGATTTGAGCTAGTGACAAAAAGTTAATTCATCTGGTTTCTTGTATAAGAATGTTGCATGTTCCGTTATGACTTAGCTCTGTAAGCTGGGAATAATGAGCCTTACTTCCTGGAAAGTACAAATACCTACTAGTACTAGGAACTAGAGCTAGTAAAATACTTTGAGTTGCTGACTGTAATTGCTGGTTTACATGTGTAAGCCTAAGTACATCATGAGGAACGTGCTAGCTCACGAAGCTGGCAGAACTGAATACTCTCCTGAAGACCATATGAATTCATGTGGTGTTGCTATTTAAATCCAGACTGGTTTTTGTGTCTCACTTGGGCATTTATTACAGTGTTTTTACTTTCATCATAAAGCTGTTCAGAATTGAGTTCAGGCAGACAATCCTAACATTGTCAGCTGCTGTCCCCTGAAGTTTCTAAGTTTGTAAGATGTCAGATAATAGAAATAACATGTTGAAATTTAATGCAGGAAGAAGTCTTAAATGATTTAATCTTTCCCCAGGTCATTAAAGCTGCTTTGAACCAGATAAAGGCAGTTGCTCAGGGCAGCATCACTGATGACGATGTCACAAAGGCAAAGTAAGTGTGTAAAGAACTGTCTTGTGTGTTGTAAAGAGAAGTTTCTTAACATGCAGCTACTTGTCAGACAGACTATTCTGTACAGCAAAGCTTATCGTTGTCCTGTAATTATTTCCGTGGGGAACTGCTCACTGTCCTACATTAAAACTGAAGTGCTGTCAGTACTCTTTCAAAGCTATACTGATTCCCTACTAGTGATACTTCCTAATAAAAACTTGACATAAGTGTTGATGTTTTCTGAAAACTTCTAATCTAAGAAATTAGCAAGTATCAGCAAATGCTGTTGTTTTCATCACACTCTGTAGTATTAAGATGTATTTAAATTAGAATCCTAAATTATTATTTAGGTAATTCCCTTTACAGTTGTGCTGCAGCAATTCCCAAAACAATTATAATAAGCAGTCTTCTGTGTCTTGAAAAAATTGTAGTAATGAGGGTGTACAAGTGTAAAGCTCTGAATTAGTGATGTTACATCCAAGAGCTCAAAATACGTGCCCCTAGGAATATTTGAGATGGGGTAAAATTACTATTAGAGATGCAGTAATACCAACAAAGTTTTAGAGTTTCTGATTTATAGAGGGTTGTGCACCTTAGCTGGTGTTTGGTCTCCAGGTAGCATTAAACTGCACTGAGTCTCTAAAACTGTAGTTGTGCAGTACAACAGTATAGTTCAGATTCACTCAAGCAGCAAAATTAAAATATTGTCTTGCATATATAAAAAACTTTCAAGACCTCACATAAAGCTTGATTACACAAAACATGATAACCTAGACGTGATTGATTGTGCCTTAGTCACTTAGTAGCTAAATGGTGAATCCTGGACTTTTATATTTGGCATTATTAGTTTTGTGGGGTTCAGTTTGTTTTGTGGTGTTTCCTTGTAATGAAGCTGCCTAGTATTAGGGTGTTACATGCAGTGCTTGTGGCTTTTTAAAAAATTTATTTATTTAACGGAGTTTCCATTCTGGAATGGCTTCACATATTTTCTGTATTGCTTGTTTTCCTTCAGTGACCAAAAAAACCCAACCCCAAAAAACAAAGTCAAGGTCAATGATATTTGCAGTCTTGCAGTTTAGTCAAAAATACCAAGCTACTTAATCATCTTCTATTGGAATAAACTATTTTCTGCCATTCTGCCTTTTAAAAAAGAGGAAAAGGACTAGCTTACAAAAATAAGGTTTTCATAGGTAGCAGTGAGACTGTGCAAAATGGAAAAAATGGTGTAAACTTGCCATCCTCTAACAGAACATGGAACTATTGCACAAGGAGCCTAACCATTTACATTCATTGCTTCTTTGTGCTTCCTTGTCACTTATAACAAAATTGCTCTGCAAACATATGTTTCTGATGAGAAACTAGAATCAATTTTAAACCTAATTTTAAAAAGTGATAGATTAGTTTAACTCCTGGGTAACCTGCATTAGTTACTTCAAACAGAAAGAAATTCTGAGCTAGAGATCTTCTGACTGTGTGGGGTGGCTGATCATTCCAAGGCAGTAGGTGTTCAAGTACCCTGTCTTTTTCATGCTCGGACTATTTGTGGTGCCTCTTTCCTAACTACAGAACCCTTCCTTACTTGAAAGGAAAACTTTTCAGAATAGAGAGGAATCTTGAAAACTTAAAAAGCACCAAACACTCATTGTACTTCTAGAGGTGATGGGGAAGGTAATAACAGGACTTACATGCTCACTCATCCTCAATGCTTTGTTTGTTGGCAGAAATCAGATGAAAGCCACCTACTTGATGTCTGTGGAGACTGCAGAAGGGTTACTGAATGAAATTGGCTCCGAGTCATTGGTTTCTGGCACACACACATCACCATCTGTTGTTGCTCAGAAAATCGACTCTGTAGCTACTGCTGATGTTGTGAATGTACGTATGTGTTGGCATCTACAGGTGTTTTTAATCACTGTGTAAGTTTGGGGGGGTTTTTATACAAAACTGGTGATTGTTTGTGTGTGTTTATAAACACACAGATATACTGTCATTAAAAAAAAAGGCAACTTGCTTAGAAATCCTAGCTGGCTATCTCCTGATGTCTTTACATACTTCATTAACAGAAGACCCTTTAATGCAATACCCTGTAAAAATAGTGTAGCTGGGAGTATGTGAAATTCTCATCTTCACTTAAATTTACCAAAACTGCCAACTAGTATTCATGGAAAACTTGATATTAATTCCAGTGCAGGCACTTCTGTGTCAAGGCTTTTAGGATTTCCAAGTCTACAATATTTGGTGTGCTTAATAAAACAATTAGGCTTTCAATGATAAATTGATGTCACTGCATTGCTATTCCAAATTATCTTATTGCTTATACTTGAAGAAAACTTCATACAGAAATTCATCAGAAATTCTAACATAGAAAACTTGTTTCTTCACAAACTTCTAATTTGTGTTGGAGGAGCAACTAGAAATAGCTTTAGTAGTAAGGAGAGATCCACTGTATCTTGTGGTGTAGGAGTTATTCTAGGAATAACCCTTTTCAAAGGGCTTATGCCTTTTATATCCAACTGTCATTCTACTATTTCTGTCTAGATTATAAAGTAACAAGGATCTGTATTAGAAGCAAGTTTAGATGGCAAAAAGAAAATCGATTACTTGATGGTGTAATATAGTAGTGTTGGGATTTGTTTAATAACTTGAAGTTGAGGCTATAAGCAACATGATAAACTGGTGTAATGAATATTTCCTTATATCCATCATTCTGATTTATTTTCAGGCTGCAAAAAAGTTCGTCAGTGGGAAGAAATCAATGGCAGCTAGTGGCGATTTGGGGAATACTCCTTTTCTTGATGAGTTGTAAAAACAAAACTGGGATGCAGATTCAAGATGGACCTGAGCTCTAAGTCACCTATATTCTAAATAAATTACTACTTACTCGTTATCTATGAATTCAGTTCTTTCAGAAAATTAATCTAGAGAAATTGTGGGTTTGCACTCATCAAATAAAGTGCTGAGTTCATATATTTCGTGTTGAGTTTTTTCCACTGAAAATGGTATCTAAAATGCTGCTAAGTCTGGATCTGTACACTGAAGGAAAAACTACAGTGAGCAAATAAAGTGACTTTTAGTTGATGTAAATAATAGATATATCAAAAATTATCACTGTGATGCAGAAAAATGCTGTAATTGCCAGTAGTTGTCCATGTATTCTTTTATGTTCAGTAAATGAAGAAACTTACCTTCAAACAAAGATGATTAGACTTTCTTAGAGCTTGCAACTGCTACTTGTCTGGGACTAGCAGAGGTAGTGTTCTAGAATGTCTTCTCCACAAGTAGCATTGATAGACATTTTGTTTTCTAAAACAGCTTTATATAGCTAATATATAATTTCAAATATCTTAGGACACTTGGATGTTTTTTGGAAGTCTAGGTGTGTATTAAAAGAAAACAGATACAATACAACTTTAGAAATGTAGGTTTGGAAGAATTCGAGTTACGAGCTACTCTGAAACAAAGGCACATTCTTCCATATAGGATGTATCTGATACAGAAGGGCAGGAGGAAGAGGAACTGGCCTCATTGTTTTCCATAGCCCAGTCTGAAAGAGGTCTGGCACCACTAGCATCAAATTTGGAATTGCACAATGCATCAACATCATCATGAGGTGCAGCATCACAAAGATTGTCTGTGCCTGCACTAAGTGTCTGGCCTGTATCAGATACCTGCCAAATTTTGGATATTGATGGTAACCTGTGAGTGAACTCACAACAGTATGACTGGGAAGATATATACTGAAAAGTTTCCAAGTCTACATCATTATCACTACTGGACCCGGTGTCATCTTCATCCTCAGCATCTTCATTTGTGCTGCAAATACAGAGCATGGTATTACTTTAATATTTAATAATTCCCATAGCCATTTAGCTAACTAATCCTGGAGTCTTAATTTTTTTCAAAGGCTTATTCTAAAGCCAAGTTCATTAGTTCTGAAGCTCCTGTAATATCAAACATACTATTGTCCATAGTCCTTTGGACTCTGAAGTAATAGTGAAATTATAATTCAGTTAACAGAAAAACAAGCTATCCTTTTTCTGCTTCAGAATATCAAATAGTTTGATTTATTTAAACATAAGTTTAGAGGTTTAATCTTTTGGAAAGCCCATTGCTGTGTGAGCTTCCTTTCTGCTGTTCTAGCCTAATTATGTCCTTTTAATACTTCTGTTCCTTCCCCTACCTCTGAGGTGTCTTTCCTATTGAAACTTTGTGCCTCAGGAAAACTTTTAACTGCCTTGTATCCTGTCTAAATTAATTATACTCCCTACAGAAGCCACCTTTAAGATTGAGAGCCATATGTTTTTAAAAGCCCCTGTATGCAGTAGCTCTCCCAAGAATTTATTTTTCTTGAAGTTTAATTTTAAAAGTCATAATCATTAACCACTGTCAGTAGTTAGACTAAGAAACAGATAAGCTTTTCACATGGTTGTTAGCAAGATGTCCTCTGCTTGTGACTGCCTAGATCCTTGGCTATTACAAATTGATATGGTCTCTGACTTCAGTGGCATAACTGCCAGCCAGAGTTCTTATGCTCATTTTGGAGGTGGGAAGGGGCATGTCTAAAATTGACGTTTGTCCTGACCCTGTCTTCACTGTAACTAGAAGAGTAACCTTCCTTCATTATTTGTTCATTTCAAATCACAGTTTTCTATTTCAGAAAAATAAATGAAATTAAATCCTTAGACTAACATCTTAACCTTAAATAGAAAAGCTGTTACATTATTTCTTGTTTCTTGCTAGAACAATGAGGTATGAAATTCTAGTCATGTATAATACTTATTTCTTACTCTGATATCATCTTTACTTCAGGAATCAATTCAACTGCACATTGCCAGTGTGGAGGTACTTCAACAAAATCTCTGTAAACTCTGATTTGTAGAGTAGTTCCTATAGGAATATTTTGCAGGAGTTGTCCAAGTTCTCGCAGAGTCCATCCCAAAACATTAGCATGTCCAACTTTTATTAGAATGTCACCTGCCAAGCAAGAAAAATGAAAGCAATCAGTTTAAGAGACTTTTTCAATTGTTTAAATGTTCATATTACAAACTATGTAGTCTTAATGACTGTACTTTCACATTTTTATGTATGTGTGTGTTTAGCAGCTCTTCAACTGGATGCGATTTTTTTTTTTTTCTTTCTGTTTTAATTCAAGTGTTTTTAGGTACAAAAAAAGAGCTGCAGTTCACTTGTTTACTTTGGGATTTTTCTAAACTTTAGATTGCCTATTCAATCCTATCTTCCATTTCTGTGGGGTTTTTTAGGCAAAATAAAGGCACAGTGGTGAACGCTCTGATCAAGACCACTACTTGGGACCGGACAGACTCCAGCAAGATTGAGCTGAGGTTACACAGATGCACTACTAACAGATCTGCTGGCGTCTTTCCACTGCTCCCCTGTACCTCTTCACAGCAGGAATACCCTGTCTATACATACCTGCTGCCTGCCCTTGTATGTCACCTTGCAGTTTATGTGTTGGTAGGCAGCCAAGCATATCCCTTCTTCCACAGTGGCTAAGTTTACCTAGGTGGATGCTGGAGAATCTGTGTAACAGCCATGTCACCTTGTGTTTGTCTGGGGCCGTGGAGGTTTCCAGGGTTTGACTCTCCTCTGTGACTGGTGCCTGTCTCACCACTCTGAAAGCAACCAACACATGGGTGCATTGCACAGGCCAGGGGAGAAGTAGAAGGTGCCTACAGGAGCTGGTGCAGTATCAAGCTGAGGAGTTCCAGCAGAAAACAGTGCTAGTAGTTTCTGTGTTTATTTGTTTGAAGGGATAAGGCTGCAAATAATGTTCTTATTACCTGCTGCCAGTGGAAAGCACTGAGCTGCATTTTTGCAAAAAGCAGTACTGCATCCATGAACAACAGAGTACAGAAGACCCAACATCTATATATACCATGGGGTATAACAAGATGGGCTTCCAGGGGAGTTGCGATTACTATGTAACCTGAAAACTTGGAGACCGCGAAAGGCAAGCAGAATCAATCTGCAGCAGACTACAGCTCTATCAGCAGCCTGGCAGAAACAGTTGCACAGAGGAGCCTTATCAGTAAACATTATGTGCTAAACTGCAACAGAACAGCATAGGGGATTTAAACAAGCAGTACATCTGTCTGGTGCCCTATTAGGCAGAGCAAGGAGCCCCTCTCCATTTGCTCTGTTTTCTTCTTAACCTTTTTGGGTTAAAAATGCCTATAGCAAAAATTTACAGGCTTTAAAACTGTTTACCTGAGCTACTGACTACCATTTTTTCCTTCACTTTTTCCACTAACTACTCCTACTCCATCACTATCACACCCTCTCTCCACTCTAGCTTATCAGAAGACACTGTTTCTACTGGGGCGCAAACAAGAAGTTCTGTAACAAGTACCAGGATATCAGATACCAAAGAAGCAAGTTCTCAGCCTCAAACAGAAAAATAAATCAACCAAATTACATGTTTCAAAATGCTTAGACATAAATGTACTTACGCTTTAATATATCTGCAAGACATTTTCAGCTTTTACTAGGTCCTTTTAGAATTCTGCTTTTTCTGCCCATGCTGTCCTGATAATACTGTTGTGGCAAGTCAAAGCCATCTCTGAACTGCAGATGTAGATAATTTTGCTCCTCTGCTCCAGCATCTGGAGTCTGAACCACCCACCTTTTCAGTTCACCTATCACTTTTGTGATTGATACCCTTCACTGGCTATTGAACATTTATGTGGAGAAAAACCCCTGCACTATGAAGGTATTTTGAGGAAACATCTGTACTAAGCAGCCCTGTTTTTTCTTGCTGACATGGAGAATAGGGCATGCATACATATATATGAGTTTGGTGAGTCTAACTCTAGGATTTTAAGACATTAGTGCCTCCCACTATCTCTGCTAATTTCTACCTTCTCCCTGTTAAAGTCAGCAGAATGGCACCAGTTCCTTCAAGCAATAAGCAGCAATGAAATTGTTCTTTTAGATTCCAGTTTGAAATTGTACAGATAATACTCATCTTAATTAACTGAAAAAATAAGCCTATAAAGATAAAAGCTAATTTGTTGCAAGAAAAACTCCTAAGCAGTGCATTTGTGCATCATATTTTTCTCAAGCACCATGCTCTGTACATTGGTAAAATAATTGCAAAAATAAGCATGCTGCCTGTGGTATCATTAAGAGATGGAGCTTCTAAAAAATACTGTATTTTCTGCAAAATTTTACAGCTTTTGTCTTAAATATAAAGTTTTTGTAAGTTCCCTCTAATGAATTGAACAAATTCAACTGTTTGCTTCTTTGTGTGTGTGGAATGTGCTGAGTTAGATCCAGGTGCTCCATGAAGTATGCTCAAATTGTTCCTTTTGGCTCCAAAAACTAAGATCAGCTACAAAGGGACAATGTTTGTTACCAGTCCTCAAACCCCTTTAAACTATTCAATACTTGTGGCACTAAGTCAAACACATCACATGCTATAAATAATTTGACTCCTTGTTCTTGTAGCCTTTATTGAAAATGCTTTTGGAGCTTGCCTTTTTCAAACTGTTGCAAATAGAACTATTTAGTTTCAGTGATAAATATTCTGGATTTTTTACCATATATATGTAAAAAAAAAACCCAAACAAACCAACAACCAAATCAGTATCATATATATGGTTTTTTATACCATATGGGGTTTTTTTAGGGAATAAATGAAAGCTATCAGTTCTTAAAATAACCATAAGTTTAAAAAGTACTTAGTTCAAATCCAAATCCATTTCTATTTTATGCTCAGGATTTTTCCACTGATTTTTATACTGGGATCAAAAGTGCAAAGCCTTTTCTAAAAGGAGGTTAAGAACTCCACTCAGTGTTTTTTATTTCATCAAACAAGTAGATCTTTCTTCCTAGTGCCTGGAATTCTAATTCTCTCCAAAAGGTGCAAGAATAAAGGACTGCCCAAACTATAAAGGCAATGCTGGGAAAATTGTTCTCATTTAAAGATATGCATTTTTGCTGTACAGCCAGTAAATTTCTAAATTATTTCATTACACTGGAGACTTAGCTTCATAGATTTCTACTTTAGACACAATTTAATACTTGGTAATAACATAGCACACTATTGTTCCCTAACTGTAGTTCATGAGTCTAATGTAATTGGTCTAGGGACGCATGCGAAGCAGGCAAATTTACAGAGCTTTCAATTACAAGCTTAATATAGGTGTCTGATGTTCCACAAGAAACCTTAATAACTAGTAATAGTCTGTTAGTATTGATATGGCACATTTCAGGCTTAAAGCTTCTAGCAAATGAACACCTGCATGGATTGCTGGAGCACAGAGATTAGTCCATTGCCACTTTGCAACTATTCTGTATAATAAAGAGAAATAAAAAGCAAACAATAATCAAATTATTTTCAAACCTTCAGGAAGTTTTGTGTTACTTGTAGAATTAAATTACTTGAACAATAATGCACTGAACAAAGAATGATATTATTCAAGTTTAGTTGCTATATAAAGGTAGTAGTCAAACCATTTTTGGATAAACCTGCTGATGAATAGGAAATCTGATTTTGCTGTAGAACAATATACAGATTTAAATCTTGATGTGATTATGAAAGAGGCATCCATATCAGCTATTTTAAGATCACAGGTATTTCACTATAATGGAATGCTGGCACTGAGTTTTATACTGTTTGTGCTAGTTTCTTTTCTCTGTAATTTTAAATTGAGTTTATTTTGATCTGTGTAAGTGTAAATAAATCAGAGACGGGCTCAAAGCACAAATGCAGAACAAGAATATTTTCAATGCTATTAAATTTGAATATCACTGTTCGTTCTTTTTACCTGGTTTTAGCTTTCCTTCGTTAGCTGCAGAGCTTTTCTCAACAAGGCTTGTTATCTGGAGATATGGCCCATTCTGTATGATTATGAGACCTAATCCTTGTTCACCCACCCTAATATTTGTCTTGAGTGCTGTAATCAGTGCTGGCAACTGTCCTTTGAAAAGTGAGAGAAAAATTTTACTAGTTGAAAGTGTGACATCATTCTTCAATAAAAGGTTTAAGGACACATCTGAGCAGGTGCTGTACCCATTCTTAATTGTCCAAACATTTAAGTTTCTCATCCTTATTTGCTTCTATAGATAGGCACTGCCTGCTGAGTTGCTGCCAAAAAGCCGCAAAGCAATACTTATAAAAAGTTAGTGTACTCTATAAACTAGATTTCTGCAAATAAATATACTAAAAGTAGATTTTACTTAGAAATTTATTTTTTAAAGAGATATGTATTTTACCAAGAGAAAAAGCAATATTGCTGTTCCTTAAGTATTTATTACTAATGGCAATATATTCAGGGAAGGTAGAGAACAGGATACAGAGTAACAGAACAGAGGAGTTGTCAGCTATTAAGGACTTCAAGAAAAGATTGAATTCCTATAATGAATGGATTTTTCAAATCAATATTTATAAAGGAGTTTAATTTCTAAATTTCCAGCAGATTGGTTCCACACCCTACTGCTGACAAGGGACTGTACTTGCCATAATTAGCACCTACAGAAATAAAATACTCTTGAACATCCACTACCCATTAAAATGCACAATACAAGTACTACAATATAAATGAGATTATCCCAGTGTCTCCACCAAGATGTATAAGAGGGTAATAAAGAAATCCTCCATCTCTCAAGCCTGTTCTCATCAAGAGCCAGGAAAAGTTAAGACTGTCACACGAGTGCTTGAGACTCCTAAAACAAACTGTATTCTATTAAAAATTACTATTTTGTCTCTGTTTTAGGATGTAATCTCTAAATGTAATTTCTGACAGTATGGTAGCAATAACTTAACTGCTTGAGACTGTCTCCAATGGTCTGGAATCACTTAATATAAATTCCCACCACTCTACCCCTCTTGTTTAAAATATGGAAACTTGTTCATCTTTCCAGTGGCTTCAGTAAAGCTTTGGATAAGGCTATAAATGACAGCACAGAATGTCTTGTAAAAGAATTAACATTGAAAGTATAGCAATGTGAACATTTGATTTGTCAGTTCAGCTGATGAACTGAAAAACAGAGAAGGAAGCAGAAATGGTTTGAATTCCTTTTTTTAATTTCCAATGAAAAATGCAATTTTTTTTTTGTTGTTGACTAGAATACTACATGTCATTTGAATTAAATACTTAATTTTCATGGTCATGCAAGGAAAGCAAAGGAAGACCCACTCTGGAACACACTTTAATCTGCTGATAATCCTGAGAGGTTGGATATCTGACCTGCTACTGTTTTTCCAGCTCAGGAATTTATGCAAAGTGGAACAAGATCAGCAGAAGGGATTGAAATCTTTCCTATGGTGTTCCTGGTTACTTTTTAATGTGTGTTTTAATCTTTTTCAGCCAGAAGAGGGAACTGAATCCTAGTTTCCTACTTCCAGAATAAGTATTTAACTCCCGGGCCAATAAATATAAACAGATGATATGATGTTAGGTTACTTTATATTATTTTCAAGCCAAAATTGTTCAGAAAATTCCATTAAAATTCATGAGCAGTGAATGATCAGCAAATGATCAGTAATGAAACAATGAGCAAAAAATGCTTATAATAAATCTAGCTAACTTCAATTAGAAGCCAGAATTCTGATTTTAAACTGCTTCTTATTGTATGAAGTTATCTTCCTGGACATGAGAGATTTAAAACCATGAAAGCTGTGACTATTCCAAAGCCTACAAAACATTTAGAAGGAATGCTAAATTTCACATTTTTAGATGAGACTCTTGTCTTTTTACCATACCTGCTATCAGTCTATATAGTCTCCAAGGAAGGTAGATTTTTTCGCAGTTCTGTGGTACAGTAAGTTTAGACATTTGACAAAACTTACATTACAGTTGCCCTAACACTGTCATGATTTTCTCCAAGGTCACCCTTCAATTCTGCATTTTCTTGTCATCTGCCTACAATTCCATTTCAAATACTCAACCTCAAGAGCAGGAATGCCTCTTGATACTAAGAAAATCTAGGGCACTGGGGGCTCTGTGAAGAAGATAACTTGTCTAGTAGCATAAGGACTTACAAAGTTTGAGATACTGAAATACAGGACTGGAAGAATAGTGCTGGGGCAGCAGTGAGGAGATAGAAATGGACAGTGGGAGAAATGTCCAAAAGAGATGGAAACTCACTCTTAGTTTCATCCCCAATCACTGGCAAAGACTGCGTATGTTCCATTGAGTCCAGAGGAAGAGCTTTTTCTGCAGAGCCAAAACCCTTGGGCAGGTGTGTCCTAGGTGAGCCTCTTGGAAATGTGCTACTGCTCCATGATCGCCTGTGGAGGAAGAGTCTACCAGCAGGTGAGGAGGCAACTGCTCCCCCAGCAACTGCTCAGAGCACCAGGGCAGTTGCTGAGCCCCCCCAGCACCACACCAGTCACACAGGCAGAGGGAGGTCTGGCATTGGGCAGAGAATGTGTCTGCATCTAGTGCATTGTTTCAGTCCGATGGGAGTAATTCAATTTAGGCTGCCTGTCTGTCAATACTGGAGCTCTGTCTGAGGCCCCAAAGATTTCTGGAGAACTTATAGCTGGTGGTGGTCTCCCACACAGCATCCTTAGGCATGTACTCATCTCCTAATAAACCTGAGAAAGTTTAAATAACTGACTACGCAGGCTGCAGGGTACGGAGACTGGATTCTGTCACTATTTCTGGCTTCATATTTGCCTACATATCAAAAGCCAATGAAAACCATCTCTTCCTTTTTTGTACCCTTTCCACCCCCCCTTCCTTTATTCTTTTTGCCATGAAGCTGAGTTATTTGGAGACAAACTCATCTTGAGGCAGACTTTTCTATAATGCTTGTATTAAAAGCTATTTAAATACCACTTAAGGCCAGTTTATTGGATAGTGGCAGATAATTCTTGCAAATAACTTCTTCTTAAGGCTGCTGGATTCCCATTGTTAGTGCAATATAATGTTTAAATCTTTTAAATAAAAAATCAGTTGTCTCATTTCTTCCATGCACCAATTGTTCCCTGTTTAAAGGGAGTAATTTCAGCTGGTTTTCATCAAAAACTCTACTATTTTCTCTACCCTTAAGAAAATCTGTCAAGAATAGATGATTTCCATAGAACCCAAGTACAGTTCTTGTCCTTCAAATAATGTCCTACTCATTGCTGTTGAACACTTTAAGACTACTTTACTAATATCTGTATTTTGTTTGTGCAGTCTCCCATCTACATAAAGGACTTACATAAAAATAAACAGCACAATAGCCTGCCTGGCTTCCTGATATATTCTGTATAGACCAGTTATGCTGCTCTGGGAAAAACAGGTGGGTGTTCACTGTTAGAATGAAAAAAAAAGTAAGCAATTAGATATTTTTAAAGTACCTGTAGGGGCTGCTAGACTAATTTAGTTCAGCATTCCCATGCCAGAATGACAACACTAAAGGCACAGAATTACTGTGGCCAAAACCAGGCTGGTTTCCCACATTTGGTGCATTGTTCATTTATTGTCTACAGATTCCCCCATGCTTCAATATAGCTGAATCCATGGAAAAGCATGTCATCAAAAATTGCTGTATTTGGGTGAGCTTTCCAGTCAAGATTAATTAAGCTTTCTTCTAAACACATGGCATAGACAGCAAGGCAATGTAGTGCTTTTGCGGTGCTCCAGTCATGTAACATCTGGAGGAACCTCCATGCATCAGTCCTTCCACTTCCCCCATTGCTATAGAGGCAACTCTGAAATTTAAACTAATACCGAACATTTCAGAAGGATAGAGAGTGAGTGACTACTGGAATACGAGATTTTTTTTTTGTGGTGAAGGTTCTATGATCATTCCTCAGCCCTCTTTACACATTGCTGACCAAGTTGCTCATTCTGGGCTCTGTATGTACCGCTTCCCTTGGGGGATGGCAGGCCTGCCGGATGGCAGTGAGGGCAGCCTCGGCTGCACCTAGCCTGAGGGCTCCGGGCCGGAGCAGGGAGAAGGGACAGATCCCCGTGCGCCTCGGTTGAAAAACACCTCTGGGGATACGGATGCTTGAAGGGCAGCGAAGGACCAGCCCGCGGGGAAGGTGTTGGGGCCCATCCAGGGCGAAGCTGGGCGGGGAGGAGCCGGAGCCGAGCCCCGGGGTGCCGGCCGCCCCTCACAGCAGTCCCGCCCTTGAGGCAACGGCCGCCCCGCCCCGCCCCTCGCCGCCCCTCTGCGGGCAGCCCCGCGCGCACCGGCCGGCGGCAGCGCCCCCCACGAGGCCCCGCGGCGGCGCCATGCCCCGCCCCCTGCCCTAGGCCCCACCCACAGGCAGCGCTCCGCTCCGCCCCGCCTCTCTCCACCAGTCGCACAGACGACCCACCTCCGCCCCCAGCTACCTACCCGCCCCTTTTAGGGCCGGCCCCACCTTGCGCCCCGCCCGCTAGCAGCAAGCCCCGCCCCGCCGCGCGCGGCTCCCTAGAGAAAGCCCGCCGCAGCCTCGGGGGTTTCCCCGCCCCGTTGCGGCGTCGGCCCCGCCCCCCCGCGGGAAGCCCCGCCCCCCGGGGGAGAACGCCGGGCAGAGTGGGTTTCCCTTCCGGAGTAATCCCCGTCCCCCCGCCCGCCCGGTTCGCTTCCGGCTCCGTCCGGGGGGCCCGTTCCTGGCGCCGCTGCCGAGGCGAGCGCGGGGTCCATGGAGCCGCGGCTGTGAGGCGCCCCCGGCCCGGGCCCGCTGCGGGAGCCGGGCGGAGGCCGGAGCCGGGAGCCGCCGGAGCCGGAGGAGATGGACAAACTGACCATCATCTCAGGATGCCTCTTCCTGGCCGCCGACATCTTCGCCATCGCCAGCCTGGCGAACCCGGACTGGATCAACACCGGCGAGTCCGCGGGTGAGGGATTGCCGGCGGCGGGGACCCGCCGGCGGGGCGGGCGGCCGGTGGCGAGGGGGCCGGGGCCGGGCAGGGCGCGGGGCGGCGGCAGCCGGGGAGGCTCCCCCTGAAGGGCCGCTCCTCAGGCGGGGGCTGCGGGGCCTGGCGTGGCGGCGGTGAGAGGAAAGCCCGGGGGGCAGGCTGGCCGCCGGGCGGCGGGGCCGGGACCTGCGGGACCTCCCGGGGCCGGGCCCCTGGTGCGGAGAAGGGCGAAGCGCCTGGTCGGAGCCGGCGGGACTCCCCCACCCCGCGCAGAGCCGCGGGTGCCTCGCGGTGCGTCCCGGGCGCTGCCCCCGGGCGCGGGGGGGCCGCGCTCTGCCCGGCCCTGTGTCCCGGGGGGTCCAGCAGAAGCCCCTAAACCCTTTTTGCACTCCGTAAAGCCGGAGGGCGAGGGCGGCATCCCCACCTGTGTCTCCGAGGTTCAGTCACCTTGGACAGGGAATTTAGATCAGTCTCCCTGCATAGTTTGTGGCACGTTTTGAATCTTTTGTACTATACTGACGTTTCCTTTGTTGCAAGGAATATTTTGCTTTCCTTCATATTTTTTTTTCTAAAATATTTCCTGAAAGCCGATCTTTATCAGCTTTGAAGCCTAGATCTTGTGTGGTTTTTGTTTTAAAATCTGACATTGTTTTCTTTGTAAGAACAAGGATTTGTGCATCTGTCTTATTACTAATGATATGATAGTATGAACAGTTTATTTCAGCCTGTTGATAAGGGCTTGCAAGCTCAGATGAGTGGAACAGGGAGAGGATGGAGGGCAGCTCTTTGATCTCATGTCCCAGAGGAACCCAAATCTCCTTGTCAGGAAAGGATGCCATCCTTACTACAAACAGAAAAAACTAACTTAACCACCTTTTCCTAAGCTTATAATTTCCAAACAAACCATGGGTATAGAATAGAGAGAAGGGGTCTTGGGTAAAGGCTTCTGTCATAAATTCTTGTAGAGGGTTTAAAAAAATTTTATTCATATGTGTTGTATCTTCAATGTCTAATATTTGGTGCATGTAAGAGGACTGAACTGGTTCAAATGGAATCATGTTTCCTTTATTCTGATGAAGTAGAGTATTAAAAATTTTGGCTATTAGGGACTGATGGTTGGCCATTCTCTCTGACCAGATTATCCTTATGGCTTGTTTGAATCACTTCTAGTTACCTAGTCTAGAACCTGGCCTTTCCTATGTGGTACAGAGAGGAACAAGTGCCTTCCCGAAGTGCAGAATTCAGGAACTCCCTAGATGACTTATACCTAATTGTGATGATCTTCCTGCCTATGGCAATGTAAAGTAGTCGTTTTTTTCCTCTTACAGTTCTGCCTAGCAGCAGTGCTGCACTAATGAACCCTTCTTCAGGGACTTAAAGTCAAATAAAAAAAAATCATTTTAAATATTTAACTGTCTGTCCTAAGTCCTGCTTTACATTAACAGATCCTATGCAATGTGTAAGATGTTCGATTATCTCTGCCTGTATAGAAATGAGATAACAAAAACTATTCTGAAGAAATTGCTAATGGAAAGAAAGGTCTTTAACAAAGACTATGCTTAGTTTCCAAAAGAAAAATGTTTAATATCTCTTTATAATACAAAAAATGTTTCCTGAAATAGTATATCTAGAAATCATTAATTCTTAGTTCCTTGATGGATGATTACTTAAGAATCATCTGTCATTTCTATCCTGTACTCCCTTTAGAGGTGAAAATAACAGTTTTACTTTTAATTAGTCACATGAAATCTGTATGGATTTTTCTGAAGGACTTCACTAGTCAAACAGTGTTTTGACAAATGTAAGACTTTTTATTTTGCTATATTTTGAAGTCAAACAAATTGTTGATTTGATAAAATTGTAAAGGAGAGCTAGCTATCATCCTTCGTTTGACTCTTTTGTAGATTTTTATTGATATGGGATTTGATGCGCTCTATCATAAGACTTCTGGTTACAAGCAATCTAAATGTATGTTTCCAGTACTAGACCTTCTAAAATGAGCCTTTTGCTCAAACTGTAAAGAAAGGAAGTGTGAGGATGCCCGTTGAATGAAGGACTTCCTGTTGCAAACACTGAAGTATTGAATTATGAAATAAATGCTTTCATGATTGCCATTCATTATGCAGAGACTGCTGTGGGGAAGTATGGCACAGGAGGGCACAGCCCTGATGGTAAACCCTGTCCCAGCTGCTAGTGAGATTCAGGCACTCTCAGCAGTCTACCATACTTGGACCACATTCGAGCCATCCAACTTCCACATGTGCCACTAAGAAGTGGGTTTTTTTGAAGCATCCTGCTCTCAGCTGGTGAAAGAAAATACTTCTTTTCTTTACCTCTGTGTTCTTAGGTTCATCTCCTGTGGGAATTATTCTAGATTCTGTTTCTACAAGTCAGCCTAGTACCAAGGAGAAAGGGGAGTAATACTGTTTCTCTGCTTGGCTGCTGCCCTCAGGGCTCTGAAAGGCAGTGTGGAACAGCCTGGTCTTCTCAATACTGCAGCTGTTTGAGAATTGCATAGAGCAGAGGTCTTGGCAAACTGGGAAGGCAGCACTGCATTGGCTCATTCGGAGCTGTTTACAGCCATTAATGTAAGCCCAGGTTCCCAGCCTTTCAGGGGAAAAAAATGATGTGAATGCAAAGCAATATGTACATCTTACTGCAGAGATAATGGTGATTTTCTGCTAAATTGGATAGCAAAATAAATCAGTGACTTTAATGCTTTTCTGAAAAATCTAGATTGTTTTCATTATTTTTGTTTTAAAGGAGTTTATGTTCTGGGGAGATCGATATAGGGGAAGGGCTGATTAGTCTCCTAAATCTTACTCTTAAAGATAATTTTTACAGTCATTTGAAAAATGTCAGCTATAAAAATTCCTCTCCAGCATTGTAATTATGAGCAAAGGCTTGCAGCTGAGATGACTGAAGGTTTCAGATGCTTATCTGTCTTTAGGCCAGAGGAACTACACCTTTGTGGATAGGGGTCCAAGTCTTCACTGGGTGCTTTTTATTTATGTAGTTTTGTAAGAATTGTTTATTAACTTGGTATCAGGTATTTCATACATCTGTAAGATTATAAAGGAAGGATGAAAATTATATGGATTTTTCTTTCAGAGAATGGATTTCTTCTTTCAGAGGGTTCTCAGTGAGGTTTTGCTATTCATGGTGTGCAAGTACAGAACACTGATAACTCCAATCTGGAAACCAGTGGCTTCTCAGTATTCTTGCACCGACATCCTTTTCTTATCAAATTGCTATTCTGTGTGAGAAATAGGGACAGACTTGTCTTTCATTTAAGCCAATGCCTAACCTCCCACTGATTTCAATAGTAACGAGTTTTGCCTCTGTACCTCTACGCTTCTTTTGCAATTAACTTTAAAAGCTGATAGTTTTGTCTCCGTATGTTCCCTTTTTGTGTGGGAGGGTCTTTAATGATTTTGATATTTTGCCTTCAGTAGGGGAGGAGAGGGGATAGAAGTTGCTCTAGCTTCAGCTCTCAAGCCTTTTGTAGGGAAAAGGGTATGAATAGTGTGCACAGTTGAAATTAGACATGTTAAAAGCAGTACATGGGGGGGGGGGTTGACGATTTGAAATGCTTTTAGGATAGGTCAAGTAATTCAAGAGGATTATTTAATCAAAATCCCCCTTCAGAAAGCTAGGCTATCAATTTGTTTATGTGACTTAGTCATCCCTTCCTATGTAGTATGATTGTTCATTTGATTCCAATTTACAGAACAATGTGTACCTTTTTTATAATAGTCATTAAGTTAATATGGATGTCAGAATTTAAGGCTGCTAAACTCTGATTGGTAACTTCTAAAGCAAGTATCTATCCCATCCTCTTATGTTGATACATATGTCACAATGGGACACACAGTATAATGTTATGGCCAGGCCACTCAGTATATGTACAACAGTGCTATTTGGGTGATATTAGTGTTCAACAGAGCTTCCAATTTTGTCTTGCACCTGTGACATAAACATCAAGGTCACTTATGTTCGGAATTACACGTTTCATTTAAACTGCCTTCTGTACCATGCTATGCAGTAACAGTATGATAATAAACTGTGAATCTACAAAATGACATTTATTTCAATTTGTCTATTTTGTTTACAAATGCTATTTTCCCATATCTTCTGAAGTATTATGTGTAGTTCCTCATTTTGCATACTCAGTTGCTTTTTTTATTTGTGAAGTATGATTCCAGATTCAGTGGTATCTGTGGTCTTACAGAAGAGCAAGTTATACCCATCAGGCCATTCCTCCTGAGGCAGTTAACTCCCTGCTCCTGTGAAACAAGTTGTCCAGTACTAAGTGACAAATTACTGCTGTTCAGTGTTATGCCTCTGCATGTGATGACTCTTCCTGAGGAATTTGGCTCCACACTTCCAACAGCAAAGCTGTAGCTTTATTGGGTTCAGCTTGATGAACAAACACAGGTGATATGACCAAGCAGTGATGCCCAGCTCCTGCTGAGCTTGAGACCAGATTGTCACGGAAATATTTCTCTTTACTTGGAGCACTGACTATACGTGGAATAAGCCCAAGACCACATGTGAAGGTACTCAAATGAACTGGTATTTCTAAGTAGAATAGAATATATAAAGCATCAGAAACTTAAAAGAGGGTATAAACTTGTTCCAGCTAGAGCTGTTGTTCTAAGTGCAGTTGTCTGCTCAAAAAGAAGTCATATGTAAAAATCAGTATGGCATATTAACACTTCTGCCCTGTAGGGCCTATGCTGATAAACTGTTAATGTACAGTGCTCCTCTGTGGAGGAATCATGGTATAGAGCAATCATTGTGCTGTCCACTGCAGTAGATAGTTTTGGTTTGTTTTTTTGATGTATGGATAGTTGGCTTTTCAAAAACTGTCTGTAAAAGGGTTCTGGTGATCATTTAAGTACCTTGCAATACATTCAAAACACAGCATGCTTCTCCCACTTCTTCGCAGTAGAGAATGATGGAAGTAATTCTAGGAT